ACATATACTGCCATTCAAAAGTTTGGGGTCATTTTTTTTTTTTTTTTAAGAATTTTATTCAGCAAGGATGTTTTAAACTGATAAAAAGTGATAGTAAAGAAATGTTTAAAAAAATCTATTTTAAATATGCTGTTCTTTTTAACTTTTTATTCCTCAAAGAATTCTTAAAAAAAAAAATAATAATTTTAATATTTATTGTGATAATGACCAGGGGGCTGTTTCATAAAACAAGTTTACCAAATAAGCCAGGCTTATTTCAGTTAGTCTGACTTATTGTCACTTGATTTGGTTTCATAAAGCAAATTTACCATGGCTCAAGCTCAGTCACTCTGGCAACTTCTGCTGGGAAACTAACCTGGTCAGGAGCAGGCTAACTGTCAGGCTAAGCGGAGTTCCTCTAACACTGACCAATAGGACTGCATTGATATTACCGCTAACTCTCTCACATACAATTATTTGACTTTATCAGTCCCAAAAAAAAAGTATACAGAAAATGCAACTTAAATAAATAAAATAAATAAAAATATAGGCTACAACCGACTGTATTTAATGTATTGTGCCCGAGATTTAAAGCATTAAAATCACTAAATTAAAAATGAAGATAAATAATAGAAAACAAACTATATTTTAACTGAAAAGAGGATTACTTGAGCTAGTAATTAGGGCTGTATTAGCTAGCTTACATTTGATTTACAGTTACTGCACTTAATACACTTATGTAGGTTTAAAATTCTGCATGTCACATTTAATGTCCAACAACAAATATTTGAGCAAAATGTATATTTAACTCAAAATTATTGCGCTCCGTCTGTTTAGCGCACATGCGCGCAGCAGCGATCGTTCACTAGCATAAGCCTCACCCACTCCTGACAGCAAAATGGATATATTTGCATGACTTTCTAACATTTACAGATGAAGAATATAACTGTGACGTGTCAGTTATGCACTGAGGAAAACACAACATCTCAAATGCATTAAACAGCACAAATATATTCGCTGTTCGCCATGGTGGATCGATTTGATCCATGATCGACATTAAGGGCTGCTTAAGAATAAGCGTGCACATCAAATTAGCTTCACTCATTGAACCTGAATCAAATTAGTGAGATTGCGTCAACTTAAATAGTCATTTATGGAACCGCTTTAGCCCCGATTGATTAGGTTATTTCAAGTCAGATTTTGGACTTTAATCCCAGCTTTTCTTTAGTGTCTTTTATGAAACAGCCCCCAGTTTATTAAGAAATATAGCATTATTTACGCCACACCAAACAGTTTTTCTCCAAATAAAGTTTTTGTTGTTGTTTTTCCCCAAAAAAAGTGTACTTGTTTACCAAGTGCTAAAAGTTTTACTTGTTTGAGATGAAACATGATGTATGCTTGAGGCTTGACGTATGGCAAAAGCTGAAAAATCACATTAAATATCAGTTAATTTTTTTTGTCATCAAGCTCCAATTGTCGAATGATGCAGAAGTGTGAAAATATTATTTAATTGCATGTACTTAGTAGTATTCATAAAATGCTAGCTATGAAATTCACTTTAGTTAGACAAAGGAGTCGGCCATTTAATTAAAAATTGTGGTGGGAATGAGTATGACTTGCAGAACAAATGATTTATGTTAAATATATATTTGCCATTAGATAGTTACTTATCAAACTAGCTTGAAAAGTATTTAAAAAGTGAATTTTCTACAAATCTATAAGGCCAGAAACTTTTTGTTCAGTGAGGTTTTCCAAATGAAAAAACAAAACAAATAAATAACTACCATCACTGTCGTCATATTCATTTTTGTTCATGATACACCAAGGCCCAGGAATGTAGTAAGTCGCTTTGGATAAAAGCGTCTGCTAAATGACTAAATGTAAATGTTTAGTTCATCTTCAATTTTGCTTTGTTGTGAAGAAGCATGTATTAAAACATTTTTGTTTTGTTTGTTTTGGTCGGCCCTGATGCACCTTAGGATCACTATCTGTTTTTCCATCTGTCCCAGGGCTTTACTAATACAGTGGCAAAGTCTGTGAACACGCTTTTTCCTCGCTCTTTCACCCCGTCCGTCCTGTCCGTTTTTTCATTGTCTTTGTATAGATGTTACTAATCCCAGCGTACATCTGAAACTCTACAGTTCTCTTTTTGTTTGTGTGTTAGTTTTGCTTCCTTTGTGAAATTCACTGCTTCCAATGTTGCCATAATTTTACCAGAACTGAAGATGACCGGCTCCATACTTGACAGTAGATCTGTTCTCCCGACCTCAAACTCTCCATTGGCATGATGAAATCATAATTACGTGCTTGTTGTAATGTTTCGATACTTCTGAAATTCTTTGAATTAAATTGGGAAAGTTTAACCTCTGCTGTCATGTTTTGAGCTGGTCTTGTTCAGTTCACCTTAGAAACGCACAAGTCTGAGTTTTATTATCCAAACAGTTGATACCTGGAAACCACACAGTCACGACTTAATTTTTGCATGTTTGTGAGAATGAATTCCAGATGTAATGCAATTAACCTCATGATTTTCCTGCCAAAATGTTAATATAATGATAACAGACATGTGATTTTTGAGATGCATCTAATTTTGTATGACAAGTGGTTTCCATCCTTAAGGACCCATTTATTTTTGGTGGCATAATTGCAGGGCCTCTAGATGTAATTTGATTTAAAAAAATAAATAAATTAAAAAAAAACACCGCAAACCTCTTTCTGAATTGGCCTTTCTCAAAAGCCAAATGTTGGCATAACTTGGTTTTATGAATAAGCACCACTGGCATAGCCTTTTTCATTGTCATCATAATCATCAAACCATTCTTTTTGTGTGTACTCTTATTTTGCCACCTTTGTCTCAGGATGGTGGATGTGGGAGGGCAAAGATCAGAGCGCAGGAAGTGGATCCACTGCTTTGAGAACGTCACGTCTATCATGTTCCTGGTTGCCTTGAGCGAATATGACCAGGTCCTTGTGGAATCTGACAATGAGGTGATTTTTTTAAATCGTGTTTTGTATTTATTTATTATAATTAATATTAGTATTATAGTTTTTTTTAGTTATTGCATAGTTTTTATAATGTATAAAAACATTAAAATTAATATAATGTACATTTACAAATTTTTAATGTTTAATTATTTATAAATTTTATTAGTATTATTAGTAGTACAATTAGTCATTTTATATATTTTATAATGTATATATCAAAATAAGAATTCATTAATGTATATAATTTTTTATATATGAATTATTTAATATTGATATAATGTGTTAGTTGTTTTTATAATGTATAAATATTAAAATTAATAATGAGCACTTATAAATTGTATTATTTTCAATTGTTACGTTATTATTTATATTTATACTTTTTAAAATATAGTTATTATAATCAATATTAGTAATATAGTTTTTTAGTTATTACATAATTTTTTATAATGTATAAAAAACATTAAAATTAATATAATGTGCAATGACAAACTATTTTAATGTTTAATTATATTTATACATTTTAATTTATTAGTATTAATATTACTAGTATTAGTCATTTTATATTTATGTATATATCAAAGGAATTCATTAATGTATATAATTTGTTTTATATAATTTTGAATTATTCATATTTAATATCAATATAATGTGTTATTTTAGTTGTTTTTATAATGTAGAAATATTAAAATTAATAATGTGCATTTATAAATTATTATTTTTAATCGTTACATTATTATATATTTATACATTTTAATGTTTTTTTCCTGTTTTTTGTAATGTATTCATACATTTTAAATGTATTTATTAATTATTAGTATTAGGTATTTTATTTATTTTATAATGTGTACAAATTTGACAATAATTCATTTAAATATTTAATTTCTAATTATAAGTATTTACTTATAGAATTTTTATTTTATAAATTGTGTATTATAGAGTAATATAATATGAGTATAATAGAGTATATTTGGAAATACATTCCTCAGTCATTGAGGTTCATCAGCTAGATTTGCATTAGCCGCAGTTAAGGTTATTAGGCCGCTCCTTTCATTGTTGTATTTTTGTTTCTGAATTCTGCAGAATCGCATGGAGGAAAGCAAAGCGCTGTTTCGCACAATCATCACCTACCCCTGGTTCCAGAACTCTTCAGTCATTCTGTTCCTGAACAAGAAGGACCTTCTGGAGGAGAAGATCATGTACTCTCACCTGGTGGACTATTTCCCTGAATTTGATGGTAACAACCTTTTCACAATGAAGCCTACACTGACACCATGTGGTAGACTTGTGAACTGCAACCACTTCCAAATACACTTCCATAGCATCCGTTTTGTCTTCAAAATCAATGCTTATCTCATTTACTGACTCACAGGTCCGCAGAGGGACGCCATGGCGGGCCGCGAGTTCATCCTGAAGATGTTTGTGGACCTGAACCCAGACAGTGACAAGATCATCTACTCGCACTTCACCTGCGCCACAGACACCAAAAACATCCGTTTCGTCTTCGCGGCGGTCAAGGACACCATCCTGCAGCACAACCTCAAAGAGTACAACTTAGTGTGAGAGAGAGACCGAACGAGAGCGAGACACCTGCAGCCCACACATGGCCGAAAGCACTACACACCTCACACGCAGAAACACATGCACGTGAACCTTTCGGACACACCTTCACACCCATTAGGCACTGGAACTTCTCATAGTCCTCTTCTTTGCCTGTTTTTTCCTCTCTTCCTGAGTGTCGACCCCTCCAGCTGATAGCTTTATCGTCCAATCTTCCTCAAACACGAAGGCTGGGCCGTTAAACCGGTGCCTAATGACGAAGAGCATTCGTTTGCTCTGTAGATGGGCTGTAGGTGGGCTCTCCCTGATTGAAACTGAGGTACGAATTTAATGGAAACACTCTGTGGAGACGCAACACGTCCGAAACGCAGAGTGGGCGACATTCTTGAAGGACTTCACCTTGCATCACTGAATTTAACCAGGTGTTAGTTGTGCAATCACATGCTATAACACTAGAGGTGGAGGTGATTTGATTTAATATTATTTTAGGAGTGAAGTATAGAGATTTCCCCATCACTACTGGAGTACTTGGAGAAGAGATGGTGCACCATATGACTTTTTTCGTAATAAGTGACCGATAAAATGAGTAATGAAAGCCACCAGTTTTTTCCCCCCCCCCC